GAGAGCAAAGCTGCTGGATCCTGCCCAGGAAATGGTTTCGGCGCCCACGCGGGGTCTCTTACGGCTCCAGGCGTAGACCCCTGCCACATCACTCCCTGAGCCCACCCGGGACTTGGAGGCAGCTCTGGAGATTGGAGGTGGGGGTGGGGTTGGGAAGGGGGCGGGACCTCGCAGGAGCGGAGGGAGGGCTTGGGGTAGTGCGAAGACTGCCTGGGAGGAGTTAGAACGGGGAGGGCGTGAGGAGGCGGGAAGGGAGAAGAGGCGGAGCTGCCGGACCCGGACAGTTAAAACGGAAAGGGGGCGCACTGGTTAGGAGAAGGAGGTGGGGAAAGCGGTAGGGTGGGCGGGGCAGAGCTGATATTGGGGGCCCCGGGTGGGGACGAAGCGCCTTCACCCCTCAATCCCCAGATGCTCTTAGTCTGGAGTTCTCTGCTGTGACATTCTCCCGAAGGGCCGGTCGGTCGGAACCCAGTCCAGCAGTATGCGCCTCCCCTCCCCGGCGTGGAAGGGGCCAGGGGGCGGGGCCAGAGAAAGGGTTGAGGGATCTGTAGTCGGCGCCCCTCCAGTCACTGCCCCACATTCCAGCTGCGAGAACAGATGGACGTAGCCGCGGCTCACCTCGGGGACTCCTTACCCGCTGCGCGCTGAGATCCAGGCTAAGGCGGAGATCTGGAGCCCCTAGCGCCCCCCCTCTCCCGCGGGGCCGGGGGAAAGCGGCCGCTGTGTGCCCCTCTCCGTGGGGAGAAGAGCGGGCGCGGACCCCACGAGTCCTAGAACTGCTGGGGCGGAGAACCCGCTTGTCGCGCGGCGCACCCATCCTCAGGGGCTTGGCCAGGACTCTTTCCGCACCGAGACCCCTTTCTGGGGCTTCCAGCCTTGGCGCATCTGGGGAGAGGACCCCCTCCCGGCAGCGCCCCGCCCCCAGCCCCCGCCCCGCCGACGTCGCATTAGCATGAGCGACGCAAGTGGCCCGGGCACCACTCGGGGGCCGAGACTCGCCGCGTCACAGCCCCGAGTGTAAAAGAAAAAAAGAGTAGGCGGCGGCGGAGGAGGCAAGAGCCGACGCGAGGGGAGGGGAGAGCGGCAGGGCGAGCGAGCCGGCGGGCGGGCGGCAGCAGCATGCCCCTCGGCCTGCTCAGGCGGCTTCTCAGCGCTGCGGGGGTGGCTCCCTGCGCGCCCGAGCCTCAGAGCGCTCAGTCTCCGGCTCCGGCGCCTTGGCACGGCCGCCTTTCCTGACCGCCCCTGAGCCCAGCGGCGGCGGGTCCCGAGCTCGGTTCCGGACAGCGGCGGCGCCTCGCCCGACAGGGTCCTTGCCTTTCCCGGCGAGCAGGGTTCCCCGAAGTTCCGCGCCCTGGTCTCTGCACTGCAGGGCGCGCGCGCCCGGCCCCGGCCGAAGCGTCCTCGGAAGAGCGGCGGGGTGCGGGTGATGGAACCCGAGGCGCCGGCGGGTCAGGCCCCGGCGGCAGCCAGCAAGCTGTCGGAGGCGGTGGGCGCGGCGCTGCAAGATCCCCGGCGGCAGCGGCGCCTGGTGCTGGTCATCGTGTGCGTGGCGCTGTTCCTGGACAACATGCTGTACATGGTCATCGTGCCCATCGTACCCTACTACGTGCACTCGGCCAGCGAGAAGCCCACCCTGACTTCCAAAGTGTGTGTGACCACCCTGCCGCCGCCCACTCCGGCCAATGCCAGTGCAGACACGGTCAACACCTCGGAGTCCTCGACGGCCGCGATGCCGGCCAGGTCTACCGCGCAGCCCCAATACCCCACCGACAACGAGGACGTGAAGATCGGGGTGCTGTTTGCCTCCAAGGCCATCCTGCAGCTGCTGGTGAACCCCCTGAGCGGGACCTTCATCGACCGCATGAGCTATGACTTGCCGCTGCTTATGGGCCTGGGCGTACTGTTCGCCTCTACAGTGATGTTTGCCTTTGCGGAGGACTACGCGACGCTCTTCGCCGCGCGCAGCCTGCAGGGTCTCGGCTCGGCCTTCGCGGACACGTCTGGCATTGCCATGATCGCCGACAAGTATCCTGAGGAGCCGGAGCGCAGTCGTGCCCTGGGCTTGGCGTTGGCCTTCATCAGCTTCGGAAGCCTAGTGGCGCCGCCCTTCGGGGGGTTCCTCCACAAGTTCGTGGGCAAGACGGCGCCCTTTCTGGTGCTCGCCATGGTTTCGCTGCTCGACGCCCTGTTGCTGCTGGTCGTGGCCAAGCCCTTCTCCGCCGCGGCGCGGGCGCGGGCCAACCTGCCAGTGGGCACGCCTATCCACCGCCTCATGCTGGACCCCTACATCGCCGTGGTGGCAGGCGCGCTCACCACCTGCAACATCCCCCTCGCCTTTCTCGAGCCTACCATCGCCACGTGGATGGAGCACACGATGGCGGCGTCCGAGTGGGACGCAGGCATAGCCTGGCTGCCGGCCTTCGTGCCGCACGTGCTAGGTGTGTACCTCACAGTGCGACTGGCAGCGCGCTACCCCCACCTGCAGTGGCTGTACGGCGCCTTCGGGCTGGCAGTGATAGGCGCCAGCTCGTGCTTGGTGCCCGCCTGCCGCTCCTTTGCACCACTAGTGGTCTCGCTCTGCGGCCTCTGCTTCGGCATTGCGCTGGTGGACACGGCGCTGCTGCCCACGCTCGCCTTTCTTGTGGACGTGCGCCACGTCTCGGTCTATGGCAGCGTCTACGCCATTGCCGATATATCCTATTGCGTGGCCTATGCGCTCGGGCCCATAGTGGCGGGCCACATCGTGCACTCGCTTGGCTTTGAGCAGCTTAGCCTCGTTATGGGCCTGGCCAACCTGCTGTATGCGCCCGTCCTGCTGCTGCTGCGCAACGTGGGCCGCCTGAAGCGCTCCCGCTCCGAGCGCGATGTGCTGCTGGATGAGCCACCGCAGGGTCTATACGATGCTGTGCGCCTGCGGGAGCGCCCTCTGTCCGACCGGGAAGTCGCGCCTCGCAGCCCGCCAGGCCCCTTTGACTCATGTGAGGACGACTACGACTACTACACCCGCAGCTAGCAGCCCCGCTTCTCCTCCAGGCCACCCGCCCACTCCCCACCCCCGGGTCAAGGTGGCTGCTCTGTGAGCACACTGGCCAGCTCAGGCTCAGATCCCGCCTCCTGCAGCGAGTACCCCAGCCCCTCCTCTGTCTTGATTTCCCCTGCCCGAGTCGCCTCTCTATGACCCTTTCTGTGTCCTCCTCCCTTTCCTCCAAAGGGGCGTGGAGCACCGAGGCACGTGAACTTATGTGCTCCTGGCAAAGACGAAGAGGCGCGCGGGTCGCCACCTCGGGGCTCCCCGATGTAGAGCCGTGCCTCTGTTTGTCCTTCCTTCCGTTCCCCCCAGTGCCAACTTGGCCCGCTGCGCTGCGGTGCCTCCGGGCCGAATCAATAAACTATATCTGTACGAGACCGAGTCTCTTTACTGATGGGGTGGGCGGCCGGGCAAGGGGCCAGGGCAGAATGGGAGGGTGAGCTGGGTCTAACCCAAATCCGGGTCTCAGTCCAGCGGGCATGCAGGAAGCCTGTTGCTCTTTTGCTACCTGGAAAAGGAGATACGAAAGAAGCAAACTCAACAAGGGCTCCCACCCACAAACACCCTGGTGCCTAGGCCAGCCTCAGCCCGCGACAGCCCCTCCCTCACCCAGGCCTAGCGCAGCGCCCCAGGGCGCCGCCCGGGGGAGCCTGAGGACCCTCTCCCTCCGGGTGCGCTGGTCCCGCCCCTTGAGGACACACCCTGAGTCTAAGGCAGAGCTCTTAGGCGCCCAAGCTTCCCTTCCCTTCGAGCCTGGCAACCTGTCCCGTCCAGTCTCCGAAAGGGAATAGGGGTGGAACTGTTATGGGCAGCTGAAAAAAAACCGGCCGCATCCTTAAGGGCTTGATTTCTCGAGACGCGTGTGTGTGATTGTGTGTTCGTTAGACCGCTGGACTCTATCCTACGAGGAGTGCAGGAACAGTTGTCGATGTGTCCGCTGTGTCCCAGCTATGCGGGCTTGAGTCAGGGCTGGAGAGAATGATAGTGTGAGAGCTGATACCAGCCACACCCTACCCGGTCCTGAGTGCAAGCAAGCGCCCAGGGCTGCCAGAGAAGTCTCCCCACCTTGAGTGGGGGTCCCCAGAGTCCCAGACCAGCGTGTGTGCACCACTCCCAGTCCTGCAACCTGTGGCCTCCTGAAGGCTGCAGAGTCCTCGGATTCCGGCATGGAGAGGTCGCCGTGTTGGGGTACGCCTGTGTATTAGACAACGTCTGTGGGGGTCTGTACTGCTGGTGTGTGCACGTCTGTTCTGACTCTGTGTGTCCGGCTGTGTGTGTGTCTGTCTGAGCAGGGTCTCTCTTTGTGAGTCTGTCTGTGTGTGTTCGTGTGTAAGGATCTATATGGGGTGGGGGGGGGAATGCATTGTCTGGGAGGAATGTCTGCCTCTGGCTGCGTGTCTCTAAGCATCCCCAGGTCTGTATCCTGCATATTCCCCGTAGTGCCAGCCGGGATGAGTGGGAATAGAAAAGGACCTGCAGTGATCGATAAACAGGTTGTTTTATTTATTATTATTATTATTATATTGTAAAAGGAGTTGTAATAAGGTTTGAGCCTGCCCTAGACAGTGGGGAGGGCACAGATTTATCCAGACCCAACCCTCCCCAGGGTTCTGCAGAGGCAGCCACAGCTAGGATAAAGGGGTTAGGGGAGCGCAGGGACTGGGGAAGGCTGAGCTGAGGGCGATGGGCACGGGCGGGGCCACGTTCTGCACCCCCCCACCTCGGGCCTGGATTCCGATGCCTTTGCTAGAGATCGTCCGGGAAGCCGTCAGAGCACGGGATGGGGGCCGGGAGGTGGGATCCCGGAAGGCGGCGGAGTGGTGAGGCGGGGTGGAGAGGGGGTGACAAAGGATGGAGAGGGTGAGAGGTGGGGGGGGGGCGGGGGGGAGGGAGGAAAAGGGAGAAAGGGGAGGGAGGAGGAACAGGAGGAAAGAGGGGAGGCGACTGGCGCGGCCGGCTCGCTCGCAGCCAGTCGCGAGGCCTGGGGACCCGGCGACGTCGGAGGCTCTGCCACCGACTGAGGCGGTGGCCCCCACCCCCGCACTGCTGACGCGCCCCCGAATCCCTTCCGGCTCACATTCTAGCCCCTAGTTCTGCTGGGTGCGGTGCAGCGGCGGCCGAGGCAGCAGAGACGAGGAGAGCAGGTGAGTAGGGCTGGACTGGCGGAGCACAGCGCGGGGAGCAGGGAGCGCAGGGAGTCTCCGTCCAGGGACCGCGCCCGGGGCCGGGAGGCCCCAGAACCCGCGGAGTCCTCCGAGTCCCGAAGGGCAGTGGCCGTCGGGGGACGGCCAGGAGACTGCGGGATTCTGTGGCTCTGGTGTTTCTCCACCGAGCGTGGGGGCAGGGGACGGGGAGCTGGATGGTGCGAAGTTGGGGGAAAGGGCTTGGACAGGCTTGACTGTCAGCTTCGCGGCTTCACGTGTGTGTCCACACTTCTGAACCCCCATCTGCTAAGTGCCAAGGTCTGCACTTTCCGTGCCCAGTTGGAGGGTCTGCAGGTCTCACTCCAACCCCCTGAAGTGCTGGCATGCACCTGCCTCTCTCCAACTCTCTCTCTCTCTCTCTCTCTCTCTCTCTCTCTCTCTCTCCCTCGGAGGCGGGAGATGGGGTGCAGGCGTGGGCGCAAGTGGCAAGTATAAGCCGGGTGACAGGTAGCCCCTGGAGCACGCGGGCAGCCTGTGGTTCCCCGGGCTGAGCTGGGCTTCGGCTTCCAGGGCAAAGCAGAGCCCCCTCCAGGCAGGCTTCAGAAGCCAGGCTGGTGGGAGTGTGGAGTGGAGGGCACCAAACTGACATAGAAAGATACCGACACAAATACACCCTTTAGGCGCCAGCCCAAGGGCCAGTGAGGAAGAGCAGCTGGCCGACAGGAACAAAGCCCTCCCATTTGGCACCCATGAAACCATCCTACTTCAGTCTCCTGTGCCCCTCCGAGACATGGGGTCTCTGAGGCTTGACTAGTATCTTCCCGCTATGGGCTGGCTGGGGGCCAGAGCAAGAGGAGGTATTGGCTGCATTGTCTATAGGGCTCTTACCACCTTGCCCTTGCCCTACTCGCCCCCTCAAAACTCCCGTGGCGCTGGGGTCGACTCTCATCTGGATACCGTTGCTTCTGCTTTGCAGTGGGCAGTGGCAGCTCCTATGCTACAGGGCGCTCGCTGGTCTGGGGACCACCTAGTCCCGAGTGCTGTGGCACAGTGCCTGCAAGGGCTCTACATTCTCTGCCCAGTGCTACCAGGCAACCCCAGGCTCCTCCACCCCTGGACTGGCATTATCTATCTTTCTGGATGCTGTGTCTTAGGGTCAGCTGTGCCTTGCACCCAACCCCCCTCTCCCACTGTGTCTGCCTGGGGGTAGAATGGGCTACGTCTTAGCTTTAGGCTCTTGGGAGAGAATAGGGGTTGGATGAGTGGAAACCATGGGTGGGTGCTTATGCTTATGCAGGCTTATGCTTAGGGTTAGAGGTTGGGCCCTGAGGGTAGAGGTTGGGCCCCAGTAACCTTAAAAACTGGCTTTTGCCCCTCTTGGCCTGGCTCACTTCTACTGTACCTTCAGAATTAATCCACCTCCTTACAGGCCTATTCAGGGGGCCCCTAGGGGCCTGGGCTGCCTAACTTCCCTGTACCATCTCCCTCAGCATTCTCATGCCACCTACACTGGCAGCCAGCCAACCAGAGACTGCCTAAGTCACAGCCCATCCAGCAGGGTCCTCCCTGCCTTGGCCACGGGCCAGTCTCCGATAAGCCTCGAGTGTCTCCTGGAGCCCAGAGCCTTAGAGGACCTTGTATTCATTCATGTGCGCATGCATTCCTTGTACTCAGCCACCCAACACTGATTTTACTCCATGCCAGGCACAGGGCTACGGCTCAGAGGTGAAGCACTGAACACGGCAGGTGTAGTCTTGCCCTGGAGAAGCTCACAGTCTAGTGGGAAAGAGAGATTTTAATCTGCAAAGCACATATCTATCGGGTCCCAGGCAGGAACAACGCAAGTGCTCTGCCAGTGACCCCTCATGGATCTGGAATGAGAGGACACTGTGGTCAGTGTGTGGACTGGTCTGGAGGTCAGGAGTTTGGGACCAGGCCCACAAGGAGGGCTGTGAACACTACTGCCCAGCTCTGGCCTCCTCACAGGGCAGAGGCAGGGTACCAGGCTATGGGAAGTGAAGGGTCCCGTCTAGGTGGCTCTTGTATTGATGCCTCTCTGCTTCTTGGTCCCCAGGTCCACACCTCTGCTTCCCCAATCAGGAGTCACCAAGATGCCCATCCTCGAAAAAACGCCCCCTAAGATGGCAGCAAAAAGTCCCAACAGTGAGGAGGAACCTGTAAGTGACGTTTGGATCCCTCTCCCCCCACTCACAAACTTTTGCTTCCAGAGCAGTCCTGAGAGGGACTGACCCCCAACTTTTGCCTGGCCCCTAGCCCTGTGCTCTCCTGGGCAGGAGGCCCAGGCTGCAGCCCTGCCCCAAGTTTGCTGAGGAGCCCGGGGAGGCATGGAGGGGCTGCGAGTGGCGTCAGGGAATACTGAGGGAATGCTGACAGCCACACTTCCTAACCTCCAAGGCCAGGGAGAGCCCTTGACCTGAGCCGGGCACTCTTTTTTCTCTCAGGGCCTCCCCTCTCTCCAAGTTCCACCTCCAATGGCTGTGAGCCCAGTGGAACTGCCTTAGGGTGAGGCTGAATTCCCTACTCTAAGCCTTGTCACATCCCAGCCCCAGCTGCTGTCAGCCCTGGAGTCTTAAGCGCCGTCTTCCCCACTGGTTTGAGACAATGCCACCCTTCCCTGGGCAGGCATCCTCCTTCCCCACCACACTCAACCCACCTTCCAGAGTGATAGAGCGACACATCTGATCTTCAGGCTGTTGCACACGGCGGTTCCTGTCTTCTTGACACCTCTTTACCCCAACCCTAACCCCAGGGCTTCATTTGAAAACCTGATCAGAACTTTCTGGCTTCTCCTCATGAAGTTGCTCACCACATTGTCCAGACAAACAGCCTGACAAACACCTCTGTTTTTGCCTCTGGTCCGTGGCACGTCCCCCCCTTTGGACTGTGGCTGCCTTGAGAGCAGGCTCTGTATCTCCATTGTCCCTGAGACCAGCCCAGAAATGTGAGCCCTGGCTCACATAAATTGCCCAGAAATATTTATCGATCTAAGACCCCAGGGCCCAAAGACCCTCATTTGTACAAGTCCCTGCCTCTGTACCCAGGCAAGGCCAGAAGCCCACGAGAGTCTGGGAAGAGCCCCAAGGGGCTGAGACATCTGAGCAGAGATTTCCTGCTTCACTCCTTCTTACCCATCACTGATTCCCCATGACCCAGGCTGAGTCACTGTCAGAGCTCCGAAGAAGGGTAGCCTGTTTCTAGCAGGGGCTCTAGCCAGATCTGCTGGCACTCTTGGCCAAGCCACCGGCTGGACTGCGCTTTCTGTAGATGCTTCCCCACTCACCCACCACACAGACCCCCAAGACCCCAAGAGAAGGAAGAGGGAACTAGAGCAGCTTGGTGGGGAGGCTGGACCTGCCTCTCTGGGAGTGTGCGGAGCAACCGGGAATGCTGCCCGGACCCATCCTCAAGGGTTACCCAGGGCAGGAGCAGCCCGTAGTTGGCACTGACACCCTCCTCCCTCCCCCTAGGGCAGTGAACTCTAGAGACAGGCTCAGGCAGGCAGAGCCCCTTCCCTCATCAGCTCACGCGCTCCGGCTCACTCACACTTGGGGTCCTCACACTTGGGGTCCGCCTGCCCAGAGCTCCCGGGAATGCGGGTGGGGGTCCGCTTCAGTCCCTGCAGCAGCAGGAGCAGAGCACAGGTAAGCATTCAACGGACCCCCTTCACTCCACAGCCTGGCCGGGGTGGAAATTCACTGACCCCACCAACCCACAGAGGAGAAACCCCTGAAAAGAAGGCAGCCCACCATGTGCCAGCTTTGTAAAGTTTAAGTAGCAGCAGGAAGAGTCCTGGTTTCCGATTGTGACCAGCTAAGGGAGGAAGAGGGAAAAGGATGGATGGAAAAGGGAGCAAGGGAGAGAACGCCCAAGGAGGAAGGAGCAGAAGGGCTGTCGGGGGGGGGGGTGGGGGGGGGGGGGGGCGGGGACTGATTTCAGGTCCTGGCTCTGCCATAGAATGGCAGGATGAGTTTGGACTAGGCTCTTCACCCTCTGGTCCTCAGTTCCCTCATCTGAAAATGGGACAAAAATTCCTTCCCAGGCTAAGCCATAACACTGTTGAACGCACACAAGATCCCAGGGTGACAGAGCTCGTAAACTGAGAAGCCCAGATCAGGAGGACATGGGTAGGGAGTTCTACTTAGATTCTTGAGACACTTTGGGGGCCCCCAGGTATTACGGGTTTTCTCTTAGGAATCCATCTGGAGGGATAAGGATAGTAATATCATAACGTTTTATGATGTGCCTAATTGGGGCCAGTTGTTTCTCTTATTTAATTCTCTCTGTGCCCCTCTCACATAGGAATTGTTATTTATGTCCTATGGATGAGGAAGCTGAGGCTTGGAGAGATTAAGAGTGGAAAAACTTCCAATGCATTTCCCCCCTACCTGCACCCCATACCCACATGGAGCTAAATGCCCCTCCCTGTGTTTCATAACTCGGAGGGATTTAATAAGGAGACCAGTGCATGAGTCACCTTCCCAGGAAATATCATGCAGAATTCTGGTCATTAGGGCAAGCAGTGAACTACACCTCGCACCACCTTTCAACTGTCCAAATCTCTCCATTAAAGTCACACCCTTTGGGTCCGGAGATCAACTGGACTGTGGAGCCCCAGCTGGGAACAAGTCCTAAATTAAGAGTGGCCAGCAGTCAATATCAATAACAGGACCGTTTCATCTTACACTCATTCTTTATGGTTTGTAGGCACTTTCATATTCGTGATCTCTTTGATCTTATGAGAGATAGAGGTTATTACCTCTGTTTTACAGGGTAGGAAACTGAGGCACAGAGGTAGGGGTGATTTGCTCAAGATCACACAGGTGGTCAGCAGCAGGGTCGGGGCATGAACCCATGTCTGTCTGGTGTCAGCCTCAAGGTCTTTTCCTCTGCACTTTGTCCCCTCCTAGAGACCAGGATGGGGCGTGGGAGAAAGCTAACAGGAGCTTCCTAAGTTCACAATTCTGCTGAGCTGAGCCCTGGAAACAGATGAGTCCCAGGATAGGGAACAAAGATGGGGCAGATCGAAACAGACACAGGGCATCAATTTGGGGACAGGCATGGGCCACACATGAGAAGAGGAACCAAAGCCTGTGAACCTTCTCTTCCAGGGGCTGCCCAAACTCCCCGTGCCCCCGCTGCAGCAGACCCTGGCCACCTACCTGCGGTGCATGCAGCACCTGGTGCCTGAGGAGCAATTCAGGAGGAGCCAGGCCATCGTGCAGCGGTTTGGGGCTCCTGGTGGCCTCGGTGAGACCCTGCAGCAGAAGCTCCTGGAACGGCGGGAGAAGACAGCCAACTGGGTAAGAGCTGCTGGGAGGGGGCAAACAAGGAACCCATGGGTCAGGGGGCAGAAAGCAGTCATGGAGACAGAGGGATTTGGATGAGGGGCAGGTAGGTGACAAAGATGGGGCAGATGGAGGGACAGGCATCGGGGAGACAACAGAGCGATAGTGAGGAGCAAGGGTGAAGGACAGACAAGATGGAGATGGGGACAGAGAGAGGACAGATGGGGATAAGGATGGGGGACAGACAGGGACAGAGATGGGGGCAGATGGGGGACAGAAATGGGGGGGCAGATGAATAACAGGGATGGGAACAGCAGAGGATAGCGTGAGGTCAGGGGAGCAGAGAGGGGTGAAAGGCAGGAATGAGACACTCATAAGAATGGGCAGGGGGCATGGATGAAGCAGTAAACAACCAGGATGAACACTGGGATGGAAGAAAAGAGATAGTATGGGACAAAGCTGAAGGACAGGCGTGGTAGACGGGGAGCACACAGGCCCTAGCCCGTAAATGGGGCTCAGCGTATGTTTGTGGAATGAATGAATGAATGAAAAATGTACATGATCTACTGAAGGGTCCCCATTTTCCCCTGGGGCTGCCAGGATGGGACTGGTGCGCTCCACAGGCGAGATGTGTGTTGCCGTTGGGGGTAATGGCACCCTTCCCCACCCTCCCTGGCAGGTGTCTGAGTACTGGCTGAATGACATGTATCTCAATAACCGACTGGCCCTGCCTGTCAACTCCAGCCCAGCTGTGATCTTTGCCCGGCAGCACTTCCAAGATACCAGTGACCAGCTAAGGTGAGGTCCCCATGCCCCTGGGCTCACAGCTTGGGAGTCTGCCTGGAGGAGGGGGCCTGGCACCAGCACCAGGAAGGAGAGGTTGAAACTCGTGCCTTGGCTGAGCTTTCTGAGGCCGTATGGCCCTGAGACAGTGGCATCCAGGCCATGGTGTCAGAAGGAGTTTAGGCAAGCGGCACATGGGTAACAAACACAGGGTCTTCCTCAGAATGTATCTATTTGGGGTGGGGTGGGGAGGTCACGGGCCCGCAGGTGTCCCCATGGCAGTCTGGGCCTGGTTGAGGCCCTGGGAGGAAGCCTGTAGCCTCTGATCCTGCCAGCACTTGAGGCTGGGGCTTCTTACTGGGACCCACAGCCCCAGGCTATCTCAGAGGGCCTCTGCTGCCCTGCAGCCCCCAGCTCTGGACAGAGGCTCTGAGGGAGTGGAAATGGTTTCTTCCCGCCAGCCACCACCAGAATCTCTGCCATCTGCTGCAATTTCAGAGCTCACTGAGCCGCTGGAACAGCCTCTGAGCCCACTGATGACAATGGAGTGGCCGTTTATGCAAGGGTCGGGTCGGGAGGAAGGGTCTCCCTGCCAGAGTCTCTCAGAGCCAAACCCAGGTCTCTGGCCTCAAGACCCAAAAGTGGCACAGCATGGGGACAGTTCAGAGGGAGGAAAAAAAAAAAAGAGGCAGGGCCCACCTTGGCCTCTGAGCAGGGCTCAACTATGCTGGAAGACCCCTGCCCACCTCCTGCTTCACCAAGACCAGCTCGGCCAACCTGCTGGCCGGGGGCAGTCTTCCCCCTTCCCCTGCAGCCAGGCCTTCCCTGGGCAGAAGGAAGTGTGTGGATGGATGAACAACCTCCAGAAACAGTTCTCAAAATTGCATTGAAGGGGGCGTTTTCCTCCTGATGCAATTAAGCCAGACTCATCATCCATGGGCTGTTAAGATGACAGAGTCCTTTAAGGAACCTCCATACTGTTCTCCATAGTGGCCGTACCAATTCACATTCCCACCAGCAGTGCAAGAGTGTTCCCTTAAAAAACTACAAATAGAACTACCATATGACCCAGCAATCCCACTACTGGGCATATACCCTGAGAAAACCATAATTCAAAAAGAGTCATGTACCACAATGTTCATTGCAGCTCTATTTACAATAGCCCGGAGATGGAAACAACCTAAGTGCCCATCATCGGATGAATGGATAAAGAAGATGTGGCACATATATATATACAATGGAATATTACTCAGCCATAAAAAGAAACAAAATTGAGCTATTTGTAGTGAGGTGGATAGACCTAGAGTCTGTCATACAGAGTGAAGTAAGTCAGAAAGAGAAGGACAAATACCGTGTGCTAACACATATATATGGAATTTAAGAAAAAAAAATGTCATGAAGAACCTAGGGGTAAGACAGGAATAAAGACACAGACCTACTGGAGAATGGACTTGAGGATATGGGGAGGGAGAAGGGTAAGCTGTGACAAAGTGAGAGAGTGTCATGGACATATATACACTACCAAACGTAAGGTAGATAGCTAGTGGGAAGCATCCGCATAGCACAGGGAGATCAGCTCGGTGCTTTGTGACCACCTAGAGGGGTGGGATAGGGAGGGTGGGAGGGAGGGAGATGCAAGAGGGAAGAGGTATGGGAACATATGTATATGTATAACTGATTCACTTTGTTATAAAGCAGAAACTAACACACCATTGTAAAGCAATTATACTCTAATAAAGATAAAAAAAAAAAAAAAGATGACAGAGTCCCGTGGTAAGGTTGTCTGGTGCCTTTTTTCCCCACGCCAGCACCCGCTTTCCTTTTCATTAGTATTAAGGGGACCAAATGACTGACTTTCCCCAGGAGATTGGATTTCCCAGAACCCCGGGGTTTTGGCCCAGTCCAGCCCCAGCACAGGCCTTCACCTGGAAGAACCCCATCCCTGACTGTCCAACCCCCTCTTGCCTGCTCTGTGGCCTCTCCTGGCTTCCTCTCCCTCCTCCTCCTCCTCTTCAGTCACCTTCCAGCTTCCTCTCCTCCCCCCCAGTTCTCTCCTCAGGACCATTTTTAATCCAAGGTTTGTGAAGGACCTACAGCATGGGGGTAGGGGCGGGGCAGCAGGAACCCCACGTGATTAGTGTACCATCAAGGCCAGACATCTGGTGGGTGGTCCATGAGTTTGGGAGAGACAGAGTGGAGGTGGGAGGGAGGGGCAGAGGGAGGTAGAGAGAGAAGTAAGAAGGAATGAAGGAAGAAGGGAGGGAGGGAGGAAGGGAGCTGAAGGATGGAGGGAGGGAGGGAGCTGAAGGATGGAGGGAGGGAGGGAGCCTGGGCCCTGGAGAGGAAAAACTAAGGCCTCATCTCTCTCTGCAGGTTTGCAGCCAACCTCATCTCCGGTGTGCTCAGCTACAAGGCCCTGCTGGACAGGTAGGACAGAGCCCAGCCTGAGAAGGGTAGTACCCTGTTCTGGCACAGTCTGTTGACCCATCTGTCTCCCTACCACACTAGCCAAGGAGCTCCCAGAGGGCAGAGAACTTGCCTTTTTCCAGCTCTGTGTTCTGGGCTCCCATCACAGAGCAAACAGCCCCCTTGAACTTGCTGAGCATCAGAATGACCTTTACCCCAGCTGGCCTAGCCATTAATGGTTACTTTGCCCGGGGTAAGCACGATCCCTCCTTGATCTCTTTAAAATGCCCCCCTCCCTCCATACGTCTTATATATACACGTGCCATGATTCAGCGTGTCAGGAATATAGAGAGCATGTCAAAAGGTGGGGAAGGAAAAGTGGCTGGAGCGCGGTGATGGTGAGTTCAGCCTTGTTACTCACTACGTGAAAGGAATGGGCTCCCCACTCTGAGCCTGTTTCCTCAACCCCATCAAGCTTGAGAAATGGGTGAGCTGGCTCAGTGGACCCAAAGGTGTCCTGACAGATGGAGAGAGCTGCATAAGCACAGTGGATCATCACTGATTTTAGGAGGAAAGTCCCTTTTCCAGCCAAGCACCAGGTGCCCAGGAGCAGCAGAGGGAGTGAGAGGACGTGGGGGACCCCGTGAGAGGGTCTCAGAGTCCCCAGAGGCAGGAAATATAAGGGCGTCAGATGCTGGAAAGAAAGAAGGGTCCAAAGCAATGTCCATTGCACAGACGAGGAAGCTGAGGCTCAGAGAGGTTAAGGGTCTTGTCCGTGGTCACACAGCCAGGAGGTGGCAGAGTGAGGAAGGCACAGGGGCAAACTTCACTTTCTTTTTAACTTGATCCAACCGAGTCTTAGCCAGACTTGTGGGGGAGGCTTAGACCTGCAGCCCCTCCAGGGTAGGACTGTTTCCTCTGGAGAGGAGGGGGCAGGCCCTCAGACCCAAAGTGCAGAGTAGCTCAGGGCTTGGGCCCTGGGGTCAGCAGACCTGAGTCTGAATTCTGACACCTACAACACAGGACGTGTCGATCTTGGGTGAGTAATCACTCCTAGCTATATACCCCTGTCTGTCAAATGGAAATAATAATAGTAGCAGCCTCTTGGGGCTGCTGCAACTGTCCTATGAGATGACGCCTTCAAAGCTTTCAGCCCTAAGTTAGGCACACAGCAGGCTCTCCGTGCATTTCTGAACCAAACGCTCCTAGACTTCTGTCTGCTCACTCCTCACCGTACCATTCCCTCGCTGGGTCACCAGACCTTCCGGCTACTGTTACTCGTGGTGTTTTTTTGATGCCTCTCTTCCTCGCTGGGAGAGCTCTGCCATCCCCCAGAACTCAGTGCTACTGACACTCCAACTCTCTGATTTCAGAGAGCCTCATCCCTTACCTTGTCCAGCTGGACAGCAGAGGAGGAAGGGCGCCACCCACGACCTTGTACCCTTCCATCGCTGACAGTCTAGACCCCAGACTCCCACGTGTGTGTGCGTGCGCTTGTGCGCCTTCACACTCACACAGACATGCATACCCATACATATCCAAGTGAAGGTTCCCACATCTGATCACCGTAAATGTCGTAAGGCTGGAAATTTATGCCATTGCCCAAGCGCCTGTTTTAGACGCTTCATTTACTCATTTATTCATTTGCTCACTTTGCAAATTGATGTTGGGAAGGTGAAGGGAAATAAGGCCACATCCCTGTCTTCGAAATGTTCTCAGACTGTTTGGCAAGACGGACACCTCAACAGCACAAAATACAGCTGTGTCGGTCCCCATGAGCCCCATACTCCATTATCTGACCCCCTGACGTCCCCACCAGGGCACCTCCCGGTCATTGCAAGCTGAGTCATCCCCAGTGGGCCCTTGGGGTCCCTCCCCACACCCCAGCTGGACCCTTACCTTGTCCTGCCATCTCAGTAAATGCACCACACACCCCTAGTGGTGAATCCGGGACCCTAGAAATCACCTGAGGTGTCTTTCTCCCTCGCCTGCTCATCTAGTCCAAGTGCAAGTACATCACTCTCCCTCCAGAACCCATTCCCATGCCTCCCTTCCCCTCCTCCCACCCCCCTCCCCAGGCCCATCACCTTCCCAACAGCCCACAGCCTCCTTCCTGGTTCTTCCTTTGACCCACTTCCACCCATTCTCCACACAGAACCAGGGCCATTACGAAAGCAAAACAGATCAAATCCTGCCCCTGAAAGCTCTCACCTTCTGGGGCTTTCACTGCCCCAAGAATGAAACGGTACCACCTTTCCACTGCCAAGGAGACTCACAAGTCTCCCCACCTCTCTGGCCATCTCTTTACTCAGTTTCAATTCACTGGCTTCCTTTCACCTTGGACGAGTGTTCCTCAAATGATCTATGGTGAAGGACCAATATATTCTTTTAATTTAGTAAAGTGTTTGTAAAACACCGCAGAAATGAATTAGCAGAAAAACGGCCCAAAGGTACAAAATACGACACCATTTGTTTTATCGTTAGATTCAACACACACAAACGTCGTCTGTCAACCTGTTACAAGTTTCTGAAAGCTCCTTCTGGAGTCCCACACTCACCCTGTCGTGAGCTGGTCATTACAGTTCCGTCTGACACCCACAGTTGGAGCAGCAGGGCCGTGGGACACCCCACCCAGCACACCTCCTGCCTGCTTCTTACCCTCAGGGCTCAGCTCACAGGTCTGGTCCACAGTGAGGATGTCCCTGGTCGCTCCTTCTGCCCCACCAGTCACTATCTCATCACCCTGTCTCACTACCTGCTTGCTGTCTTTGCCCCACTACGTACCCCAGACCTGTGCCCCATTAGAACAGGAAACTCAGGTCTTGTTTGCAGCTATATGCCCAGATCCTGGTGCCTGGCCCCGGAGAGTGCTCAGTCACATTTGTTGGCTGAAAGGATGGAAGGAAGGAAGGAGGAAGGAGGGACGGAAGAAAGGAAAGAAGGAAGGAAGGGAAGGAGGGAGGGGAGAAAGAGACAGAAAGAGAGAGAAGAAAAAGGAGGAAGAGGAAGAAGAAAAGGAAGGGAAGGCAGAAGGGGGAGAGGAGGAGGAGACAGAAGGAGGGAAGACAGGGAAAGAGAGAGAGTGAGAGAGAAGGAGGAGGAGAAAAAAGGAGGGAAGAAAGTACACGAGACACGCTGAGACCACAGGAGAAAGAGAACTTTCCACCTTGAACTCAGAGGAGGTTTCTAGAAGAGGTGATGAAGGAGTAGGCTCTAAAAAGAGTAGAGGGGGGCTTCCCTGGTGGCGCAGCGGTTGAGAGTCCGCCTGCCAATGCAGGTGACACGGGTTCGTGCCCCGGTCCGGAAAGATCCCACATGCCGCGGAGCGGCTGGGCCCGTGAGCCGTGGCCGCTGAGCCTGCGCATCCGGAGCCTGTGGTCCGCAACGGGGGAGGCCACAACAGTGAGAGGCCCGCCTACCGCAAAAAAAAAAAAAAAAGAGTAGAGGGAGTTTTCTAAATACATTAGTTGAGAACAGGAGTGAGGGTGAAAGTGTGCCAAGCAAAGCAGCAGAAGCAAAGGCCCAGAGGGCTGAGATGGCCAGATCCGCACCTGTGCACATGTAGTACATGAGGCCGGGGCGAGGCAGACTAATGGAGGCCGGAGAACACCCCGAGGGACTCCACGGGGCACTCCACTGCTTTAGAAAGTGGCAAATCTAGCTCTTTGACAGCCATCGTCATGCAGTTCTGGTGTTTCTGCTCCACTTTGCCTAATCAGGTTAGAGTAGAATCAACTCTGATTCCCTGCCTCCCTCCCCTCCCTCCCCTCCAGCCACTCCATCCCGACTGACTGTGCCAAGGGCCAGCTGTCAGGGCAGCAGCTCTGTATGAAGCAGTACTACGGGCTCTTCTCCTCCTACCGGCTCCCCGGCCACACCCAGGACACGCTGGTGGCCCAGAAGAGCAGTGTCATGCCGGAGCCTGAGCACGTCATCGTGGCCTGCTGCAACCAGGTAGGCGGCCCCTTGCTGCTGCAGCCTCTCAGGCTTGGGGAGGGGCGCACGTGTGTTCATCCATTCCTGCTTCTCCAAGGGTGTTCAACCCCCTCCCGGAGTCACACGGTGAGCTGGGGCAGGGTGGCCCCAAAGTGGGGTGTCTTGAGTCCTGGTCAGTCCCATTCCTCTCCGCTGGTTGGATTTTAAGAACGAGGAGAGTCATCAATTGAGAATGCCTTCAGTGGCTTCCCATTTCAGTCCTGACCAGCCAGGTCAGGTTCAAAGAACCGCCTGGATGGACTGAGAGTCGTTAATGAGACCCAGCATGTCCTTAGCCCTTCCACATGCAGTCATCCAGGCTGTGGCCTTCCTGGAGACCACATACAGACAGATGGACAGCTTACAGACTGACTGTCAGGACTTCCATGTCCAGACCATAGGCTTGGCACTTCCGTTCATCCCATCTGATCCTACGATGGCCCTGCAGAGGGGGCCTTGGAATCTCCATTTGACAGATGAGGAAACGAGACTTAGGTTAAGTGCCTTGTCCAAGGGTGAGAAGTCCTCCTAGGTCTGCCAGTGTCACAAGCCCACAAGGTCCTCAGACTGGGTTCCAGGGAACAAAAAAGAGTCCATGGGGGCCCAGGGGACAGGGCGAGCATGAGGACTTCTGACAACAGACAGTATATTCTATATATTGAGGCTCCACATAAATATTCCATCTGACTAAAAGCTGTTTTGTTTTCTGTCAAAACCCAAGTTTGACATCCACCCTGGGGACTCCCCTGGTATTTGTTCTACAGTGTTTCCTTCTTGGGCTCATCTGACATTTTCAGTCTAAGCCGGGAGCCCTAAGTCCGCCATCGGAGGATGGCCGTTCCAGGTTCGAAGCCCACCTGACGCCTGGCCGGCCACAAAACGAGAACCTTTCTCCATCTTCGTTCAAAAGTCAAACCCAGAATTTCCCAGCGCCCACGCACCCTAGCGTCCACCCCTTCCAGAAACGCTTTCAGGCTCCCACCCTGAGCCAGGCCACCTGTATGCTGTCCAGCGTGTGGGACCAGGCACTCACGTCAACCAGCTGACAAGCGTTCTTGACCTGGGGCTGGAAATAAAACCCTTTACAATGCCCAAGGCTCTAGCTTCAAAACTGCTGAACGACAGCTCACAAGCCTTACACACAGAGCACACGCAGGTGCACATGTATGTGTGTACACGTACGCGTAGAGCATTTTGTGTGTTGTTTCTCCATTTTAATCTTCCTCTGCATATTATTCGCTGACTTGCTTTTTTTCTCCACTCACCAGTGTGTTTGAGATCTATCCCCGCAGCTGTACCTAGAGCTAGTTCCTTCCCTTTAGCTGCTGGATAGACATGCACTGGATGGATAGACCACGGTTTACTTAACCATTCCCCTACTGGAGGACATTTGGGCTCTCTGTACCGCTTTGCTATTGCAAACAGGCTGATATGCACATTCCTTTATATGTCTTTCCGGGCACAAGAGTATACGTTTCGCTAAGCCTTAGGCTAGAGTACGTATTTATGAGAACAACTGCTGGATCATAGGGCATGCACATTTTCAGTTTTGATTGACACAGCCCTCCAACAGCAGTTGTATCCATTTCTACTCAATTCCCCACAAACATAATGGTTTTATGTAATCTAGGAACTACAGAAACAAGCTTTCTTTAGTAAGTTTAATCTGACCTTCTTTGATTTGGGGCAGTTTGGAGTCCAGCACAGTCAGCCGTGTTGCGCTGGTCCCCACATTATGACTCTTCAGAGCCATCACATACCTTGGGAACCGTGGGCCCGAGCATCCCCGCCCTGCCCCCGTGTGGAGGCTCAGGGAGGGCCTGACGCCTTGGGCTGACCGCCCTGAGTGACGTCTTTGACCTGTTTCCCCCACAGTTCTTTGTCTTGGATGTTGTGATTAATTTCCGCCGTCTCAGTGAGGGGGATCTGTTCACTCAGTTGAGAAAGATAGTCAGAATGGCTTCCAACGAGGATGAACGCTTACCTCCAATCGGCCTGCTGACGTCAGACGGGAGGAGCGAGTGGGCTGAGGCCAGGACGGTCCTCGTGAAAGGTTAGCAGCAGTGCCCAGTGCGTCTCCACGCTCATCTCATCCTCACACCCATCGGCTCCCCTCCCTCCAGGGTCGGGCGCCATGCCTCATCCCCATTTGCCATAGCACGGGGAGCTCAGGCCTCCCTCCAACGCAGGACCGATGGCATGTCCTACTGTCAGCCGAGGTGCCTTGAAACTGAAGGCACCTTTTGTGCCCTTGTAATTCATCTGACAATGTGCTAGCTTTCTGGGTGAGGCTGACTAGCCCTGGAATCTGAGGATGTCCAGGAATATTGAGGGAGGGAAGATTACGAGCTGGATGAAGGCCAGCTGCAATGAAGCAGTTGTGTTTTACTGGTGGGCAGGGATGGTACTCATTTCAAGAGTCTGAGTCACTGGAAGAGCTGTCAGGTGGGGATCTGGGATGGAGCCCACCTCTGGGAGGGTGGTTGGCTGCCTCCTTCCTGTGATTTCATGGTCCCGGAACTCTTCACCTTCAAGCTGACCTTATCCTGCAGGCTGCTGCTCTTATGAAAGTTTCTGAGCGTTCCCATAAGAAATCCAGGAAGAGCCTTACAATTTTCAGATCATCCTTCTGGAAACGACTTTTCAAACCCAAAGCGAGCCCTATTCTCAGAAACTGGATGGAGAGCCTTCCTTTCTTGTCTACGTTAGAGATTCCCAGATGAGGGGTGACACTTCTGTGAGCCTCTGTCTGCCCCTCAGGTTTTGATGCAGCCAGGTGACCATTCGGACTCCCGGAGTGTCTGTAAGCTGAGGACCTGGGATAGGCCTAGGGAGTGTAAGGGACAGAGAGGATGAACCCCTGGCCCTGAGCTGCCCCTTCGATAGGAATCGGGGAAGGGACGACAGATGAGGGAGCAGATTTAAGTACATAGTAATGCAGTGTCTACCCATGTAAGGCAGTAGGGCCAGCAGGTGCCAAATAAATGCTCCAGGACCTCAGAGAGGGGAGGGAGCCCTTCTAATTGGGAGGCTTTTGAAAGGCTTTGTAGGAAGAGGTGGGAATTGAGCAAAGCCCTGTGACATGAGTGAGAGGGGCAGGAGGGAGGGACAGTGTCCAGGCAAGTACCCCAACTGCAGGCAAAGTCGACCGCCCAGCAGGGCCACGTCTGACCTGCCAGTACCATGAGGAGAGCAGTCTGGCTGGCAAAGGTGGCCATGCTAAATGTACTGAGAGAATGAGAAAGTGGTGGGGCTTGGATGTATGGCCACAGGCACTTCCCTCTCCCTAGAAGGTTCTTCCCCCAGGGCTGGCTGGCTCCTTGCACCATCCCAAACTCAGCTCAGGTGCCCCGCCCTAGCCCCTCCTGGAACATCCCCCAGCTCTCCCCAGCTCACTCTGTCCCCTTGTCCTGTTTTCTCATCTTGATTGCATTTCTCACCCTCTGAAGTCAGCTTTTCATTTGTTTGGTTCGTGCTGATTATCTGTCCTGCCCCACCCCCCAAGTCTATAAGGTCCAGGAGAACAGGGGCCTTACCTGGTTTAACTTCTGAATCTGCTGTCGCAAACACAGCTAGTCCCCAGTTATATTTGTTAAATAAAAGAATGAAGGACTGGGCTTCCATGGTGGCGCAGTGGTCGAGAGTCGCCTGCCGATGCAGGGGACACGGGTTCGTGCCCCAGTCCAGGAGGATCCCACGTGCCGCGGAGCGCCTGGGCCCGTGAGCCATGGCTGCTGAGCCTGCGCGTCCGGAGCCTGTGGTCCGCAACGGGAGAGGCCACAACAGTGAGAGGCCCGCGTACCACAAAATAAAAAAGAATGAAGGACTACTAAGGATACTGGGCCCCAGACTTATTTCCCACTTACCAATGAATTTTTCTTTCATTCGATTCTTGGGCACTTTATAGTGCTTGGTCTTAAATCGGAGGCTGCATGGGTCACAGGGAGGTGTAAGAGTTGACCCTGTTCTCACTGAACTCACTGCCAAGTGGGGGAATTAATAACTTATGATTTGAAAGTGAGTTGATTCCCTCAGCAGACCATGGTGTAATCAAATCCCACTCTTCTCCCCTCCAGGGAAAGAGACAGGCATCAAAAGAATCGCCTCTGCTTCCAGTACGGTTCCCACTTTATTAGCAGGCCAGGCCCAAGCCATCTCTCTGCAGAACTGACCGGGACTGCCTTGGGGTTTGAGTGCTTGGGTGCGCTAATCGGAATTAATTTGTTAATGGCACTTGATCTGGCTTTCTGAATGGAAGTGCTGTTTCTAAAGGAAGCACCGCAGAAAGGAGGGGGCGCAAACACGCCTTCCCTTTGGAAATCTAATTAATCCAGTTAGCACTGACTGTGTCATCTGCACAGCAGGAAGCCAATCTTTCACAGAACTCTCCTCTCTGGAGTGCCCCTTCCCATGGAAGGAAAACAGGGAAACCACTTGGATACAATTTTGGTGTAAAAATGAAAGATTAAGGCAGCTTGGGCTAGAGTGGAGAGTGAAGATGGAAAGACACGGGTGGGGTCTAGATACATTTCAAACTAGAAGTGACAATAAGGAAAAGAGGAATGAGCAAGTGTCCTAGGTTTTTGATGTGAGCAACTGAGTAGATGGTGGTACCATTCACTGAGATGAGAACCAGGTGAGGGAAGTGGCAACAGAACGGAGAAGTCCTTTCCAAGTATGTTAGGGCTGAGACGCCTTGAGTCAAGTTAGATCTATGTGTCTGGTCCTCAAGGGAGAGGTCGGTACAGAGATATAAATTTGAGAGCCATCAGCACAGAAGTGATATTTAAAGTCACGGACTTGGATGAGATCATCTGGAAACAGAAGAATGGGGCCTTGGAGGTCAGGTAGAGAAAGATGCAAAGGGGATTGCAAAAGAGCAGCCTGTGAAGTCAAGAGGAAACCAGGAGATGAGTCACGGAAATCCAAGAGGGAAGGAGAGAGCCGCTGACCACGTGGGATGCTGCTGAGAGCTCGCGGAAGAGCAAGACAGAGAGGAAACCCTGGGCTTAGCAACCCTAAGTCATCCGTGACCTTCACTAAAGTCAGACTAGAGTGCTAGGAAGGGTGAATGGTCGTATGCTGATGGAAGCCATCCAATAGCAGGAGGGAATTGTTGATGAGACGGTCACTGAGTAGAATCTTGAAGGGTGGGTGGTTCTTTTCAGACACTTTGGTACTAGAAGGAGCAGGAAAATGGAAGTGGTGGGAAGACGATGGGGCTCAAGGGCAGTGTTTTTAGTAGGAGAGGCAAGTGCATGGAAGTAATCCAGGAAGTGAAATTGTTAATGAGGAGAGAGGAGACAAACAGAGGGGTGGAATTCTTGCAAAGGCAAAAGGAAATGGAACCCAGAGAATCAGAGGCCTTTGACTGGTACAGGGAAAACAGGAGCTGGGCCCGAGGTCCACGGGGATGTGGCTGTGGTGGCAGGAATAAGAGGAGGTTCCTGACTAGAGGCTTCTGGCTTCAGATCCGCAGAGCCACGGCTATGCACCAAGAGAGGTGAGGGTGGGACACTGGAGGCAGAAGAGAATACGTGGAATAGCCTCTTGCAAAGTGGAAAAGACAGCCTACTCAGGAAACTTGCTAAGATTCATGGACTATGTCGAGCTTGTATTTGAGGGCTTGGGGTCATACATTTTAGAAGAAATTAATTAGCATTGTTTTGCATTCCCCCCCCATAGTGCTCAGGTCCTGAGGTTCAGGTGAGGAGAAGGTGGGTTGCTGTGTTCAGCCAAGGTTGGTGAGCATAATGGAGGGAGTGGGGGGCAGGTGTGGCAGGGGAATGACTATAATGTTGGAATCTGAACTGAGTAAGGAGATTCGTTAGTCTGCTCAGGCTGCCATAACAACGTACGACACACTGAGGGGCTTAGACAACAGCCATTTATCTTCCCCCACTTCAGGAGGCTAGAAGTCCAAGATCAAGATGTCAACAGAGTTGGTTTCTTCTGAGGCCTCTCTCCTTGGCTCATGGATGGCCATCTTCTCCCTGTGTCTTCACATTGTCTTCCCTCTGTGTGTGTGGATGTCTGTGTTCTCATCTCCTCTTCTTATAAGGACACTAGTCATGTTGGACTAGGGCCCCACCCCAGTGACCTCATTTTAATTTAATTACCTCTGTAAAGATCCCCATCTCCAAATACGGTCCCATTCTGAGGTACAGGGGGTTAGGACTTCAACTTGGGAATTTTTGGGGGACATAGTTCAGCCCATCACAGGAGGGAAGTGAAAGACAGGCGTGGGTGGTGCAGACTTGAAATAGGCAGTGGGGCCCAAGGGTTTTGGGGGTGTCAGTGAGGTGAGACGTGTTGCAGTGGGAGGTAAGAGAGTGTGAAGCAGGAGTCAAGAGTGTGGTCAGGGCGCGGCATGCTTGAACTAGGCTTCAGAGGGGGTTGGCTCCTGGTAGAGGTACATCCCCAGATGTGATGGTGGGAGTGGGTACTGAGGTTAGACTGTCAAAAGTGAGACGTCAAGGAGCTGAGAGAGGAGTATGCCAGCCAGGTCACACACACGGGGACGTCCAAGCTACCGGAAGGACGGCCAGAGTGCTGATGGGGAGGAAGAAGCTGAGCCAGGAGCCCAGGTCATCATGGCCGGGCACTGTGAAGAAGTCAGCGGAGCCCAGCAGCAAGGAGGAGGGTGTGATGGGAGGGGTGAAAGCCCAACAACTGCAGTTCCAAAGGGAAAGGGAGGAGGAGTCATTTAGGAGCAGGAACAGAGAAGGGGAAGCCCCCTACCAATCTGGCCCCCTGGTGAGTGTGAGGAGACACAACAGTCTCTTAGAAGGGGGTTCAGGGAGGTGGGCCCTCAGGGAGGCCGCCCTCCACTTGAGGCAGAAGGTGAATAGAGCACTTTCAGAAGAGGTTAACAACACAAGGAATAGCCAACGAGTCACCGTGAAGAGTCCGGGAAGGAGGAGGGGGGAGGGGGGAGGGCTGTGTCCTCACAGGGGACACTGGAACGGCAGGGGATGAGAGTGCCAGGGAAAGACCCAGGGATGGTGGTCGTTGTTGCAAATGATGCTCCCAAAGCCCTAACCTCGGGGAAGC